ACTTGCATCTGACGAAGTGGGCATTCACCCACGAAAGCTTATGCTCCAATACCTCTGTTAGTCTTAAAGGTGCCACAGGACCCTCTGTTGCTTGTGGCAATGGAGAGGACAGAGCTTAGCTGATAATGGTGAGGTTCCAAATGTGTGTGTACTAATCTGCACTGCATGGAATATCTATTGATAGGCAAAAGTGTCAAGATAATTTGAACCCTAGCCTTTGTACATCAAGTTTATGGTATTGGTCACCCACCTGCTGTAATCAGAATTAAAACACAGAAAAATAAGAGTGGGGCTGATTGTCAGCTGATTTAAATTGCCATAGCTCTAGTGAAGTCAACTGAGCGGCAACAATTTACATCAGCTGTGGATCTGCCACAGTGTCTTTCTAGAATACTTATTTTCCTTCCTCATCAGTTCAAATTTGTAGTTATTTATTTGGGATAATAAAATATCAAATTTAAAACCAGAGTAAACAGATGTAAAGTGACTGACTGAAGTGACTTGCTTTGCGTTCCTCTGCCTAGTTCTTTATGTAAAGGCAACCCAGGATTCAGTCGTGGACTGTATCTAAAATTACAATGTAATGTGTGTCTTTATTAACTTATTCATAGTTTAAAAGATGAGATCACATCCGAGAAGCTAGCTGGGGTAAAATTGTGGATTACAGCAGGGCCCAGAGAGAAGTTCACTGCAGCTGAGGTAAGAAATATTCATAAAGAAGACAAAAAGCCAACAATGGTTTGCAGATTAGTTATGCTTCCAGATTTGTCTAGGAACACAGAAGAAAGGTGACCCAAAACATTCTGTAATAGCACTGTAGTTTGGAAAGCCTATTTTACATACATTTAGATTTGAACGCTTCTTGATCTTTTAGGGTCAAGTTGGTTGCAAGTAGCTGAAACCACTTATGCCTCATTTCCATACAGTTCTTTGGAGTTCTGTACTTAGCGCCTCTGATTGTGTTCTTGTGTTCTTTCCATCTTATTGTTTTAGTTTGAGGTTCTGAAGAAATATCTAGAAGAGGGTGGGGATATCCTGGTGATGCTGGGAGAAGGTGGTGAATCCCGATACGACACCAATATTAACTTCTTGTTAGAAGAGTATGGAATCATGGTCAATAATGGTAACTTGAACTTTTGTAGATGCAAACCATGTATGGTTCTTATTAGAAATTAGGGTTTCAAAGCCACTTCCATTATAAGCCTTCTTTTTCCTCAAGTGTT